ATATATAGATGTGTGTGTGTGTGTATGTGCGTGTGCGTGTGTGTGTATGTGCGTGTGCGTGTGTGGGCGTGTTTGTGTGTGTGTGTGTGTGTGTATGTGTGCGTGTGTGTGTTTGTTTGTATCGCGTGAATCACCGTGGATGAAGTTTGTAAACAAAACCCGCCTTTCTCCATGAACAGGCTTTGAATTGGCTTCATATTGGCTTTTAGTTGGCTTCGCAGTCATTTCACTTGACATTGAACTGTATGCTGCAAGTGTTCGCATTTGTAATGTGTGGCTCTTCCTACACAATCGTATAAACAGGCGCTTTCTTGATCGACACAAACGCCGACCAATTGGACGCCGGCGACGGAGTGACTGCCTCTCGCTCGGCCAATCAAAATGCTAGCAGGTCAGATATGAACTCTGGAATGTCTGGCAACGCGTGGGAAGACGATGATGTAGCAGAATTGACCGCACCAAAAGGGGCGCTGCTGTGTATGGGAAATGAATACCTGAACGGACACTTTGGGACTGGGAATGAATTTCAGGAGGTATGGACAATTAGCGAGCTTTGCTATTGGTGTAAGTTTTGCTACTGGTGGTGAATAATTGTGAGGTTAGGACACTAGGCACTTTGACTCAGATGTGGACAGTTAGCGAGTGTTACATATGATGGCGTGTTTCTGGGGTTTAGGTGTGGGATTATGTATTCGGCACTTTGGGTTTGTGGACTAATCCCAGCCGATATTGACAATTAACGAGAAGGGGCCGCCTGATGATACGTTACAGGGGTCTCGATATATGTGCATTGTTTTGGTTATCTGATGGCCGTATTCGGACCCTGTATGTGATATCCCTGGGCTACGCGAGTGGGTGTTTGGGAAAGACTTTCTAATCTATGCAACTTTAGTCCCTGCTGTTTCACTAGGCACTATTTAATGACATAGTATTGGATTCTTGCCAGGAATTTAGGCATTGGTCAAATTTTAATTGGTATTTTCTAGGAACTTAGATCTCCATGTATTGGATTGTGTAGAAATTCAGAAATAGGTCAATCTAGCTCTTATGCCTTCACGGCATCATCATCTTTCTGGTAGGGCTGTACGGTGAAATTTCATCCGTTACTGTCGAGTTTGACAGTATGGTTATAGTATACTCGTACCTCTGCCTTTACATATAGGCTCTTGTGACCTATTTTTGACATTTCGATACGTGTTCAGTTCTTCCCATTCCTTGCGTGGTGCAGCTCTACGTAAAAACCTTTTAAAGAAAAACCCCATTTTCATTTTTATGTCCAACCAAAATAAACTCCGTATGGGTGTACTGCTCCTATATTGGACTCTCATTCTTGCGTGGTGCAGGTCTACGTTTACCTACTGGCAACATCCGAGAAAGTCGAGTATATCCAAGAGCTTGAACCGAGGGAGAAGAGGATATACCCCACGCTGATGCAACATGTCCCTGATACAGAGCTCTGTCAGCAGTACTATTTTCCGGCTAGGCGTTTCCGGGTGCTCACAGATATCGGAGCGTATACAATAGAAAAGATGAGGTACGGTATTGTATTTCTTTTTGAACATATGGCACCTTGCATATAGGTGCTGTAACAAATATAGTATCGTATGTTTTCTCGTATATAGTATCTTACATATAAGTATTGTGGGGATAATATTGTATTTCTTCTTAAAAATATGGTTTACTTACATAGAGGTATTGTATACGTGTTTACATGCACGTTACATATCACAATCCATATCCAGAAGCACCTCACATTCATTTTAGATATTATATGCTATATGCACATTCGGACAATATTATGTGTTTTATACATGTT